CCCGTTGAATCAGTGTATGAATCAGTGTTAACGAAGGGCCAGCCTTCACTCAGAGTTCCTTTGCTTTAACCTCATACCTGGCCTTGCTCCAGGATCCGTCCAGAGCAGTCACTGCCTTAGGTCCTTGTGTCTCTGGGGCCCCGCGTGGCTGTGACAGTTCCCTGTCTTCATGACCTCGACAGTTTGAGCAATACTGGTCAAGCTCTTTGTGAATCATCCTTCAGTTTGAGTTTCTTTCTTGTGACTTGAGATTTTTTTGAAATGTGATATTTTCACATTTGTATCACATCCTCTATCAAATTCTGCTCAGAAAAGGTTCTTTGTATTTTTAGGAAAAGAAATACAGGGTGATAGCCCTAGCAAAAATTTCCCATAGAACTCTGGCTTTCACCCAAAGTTTGAGGAGGGCTGTGTTGCCCTCAGGGCACTTTTGATATTTTCTGGGGATCTTTGTGGTTGTCAGGGTGGGAGAGAAGGGGTGCTGCTGGCCTCTATCAAATATTACTGCTAAATATCCCACAGGGCCTCCCTGGTGGCACACGGGGTTAAGTCTCTGCACTATCAAGGTGTCTGCAGCCACTGCAGCAGGAGCTCCATCCTCACCCAGGGAGCTGACCCACGTGGCGCAGCAGACCTCTCCTGTCCCACCTGCTGCTCCCCTCAGCGGTGTACTTCATCGATCTGCCTGTTCTGCTCCCCACTCTGCTGCTGGTGAATCCCCTCACCTCCTGTACCCCAGCTCTTATATGCATAAATAAATAAATCTTAAAAAAAAAAATCCCATGATGCAGAGAACAGTCCCTGCACCAGAGACTAATTCAAGCCCAGATGTCAGTAGTACCAAGATTGCGAAACCTCGCTCCTGAATGCGCACTTCTAGGGAAACCTTGTGTAACTATATTTTGAAGGGTGCCTGCGTTTGTGTGTGATCTGTTGTTTCCTTTTGGCTGTGGTTTGTGTGCACCATTTCTGACTTGAGTCCCTGGCCGTCTCTGTCTGCTGGGGATACAGCGCCTGCCCTGTTGTGTCCAGATGGAAGTGTTCCCCACTCCCTGCTCTCGATCTCCAAGCACAGTTGCTCCAGCCTTACACGGGATAGCCTCAAGGGTTTCCCCTCCTTTCCAAGTCACCCCCCAGCTGGTCTGTTTGGAACATGTGGCCTCTGCTGTGGGGCTATGGTGCATATTAAGTTGTGGAAAGGAGTCTGGCAACAGCGTGAATGAAGGATGCTGCAGCATTTATTCAGCGTTCCCAGCTGAGAGGGGCACACAGAACCGGTGTGAACTGCCGGCCCTTCCCTCAGACGCGGTAGTGGCTTAGAAGAACCGTGGATCATCTCAAAGTTGCCAGTGTTCCTTGGTGCAGTCCATGTCTATGAGATGCATGGCTAGAGGAATGTGGAAAATACCTGTTCCAACACTGAGAGCATTTTACAGGTACCCGCAGAACGCATGATTCTCCAAGGAGGATGTAGGTGTAACATTTCTCAGATAAATTTGACTATGAGTCTCCATTTTTGAAGTAAAACCCCAAAATAGAGCTTCTAAAGACTATGCCTTGGGTGTGCTGTAACAGGAATATGTAATATGTAAGTATATATTTATATATGTTTGTAGCAAGAATGTAAGTTAATAATA